ATACATACATACATATATATATATATATATATATATATATATATATATATATATATTACAAATTGTGTATATTTAGGCAGTAACTTTTCATTGATGCATGTTTCATTAAATATAGACATGTTTTTGATATTTTTTTTAAGTAAGTTCCTTTCATACTGTCTGGTAAGCTTAATGACATTATCATTGAAAGACGGAAGGAAATCACCATATAGATACATGTTTAAATCTAATCTAAGCTTTCGGCTTACATAATCCATTATCAAAGATGAAAATTGATTTTCAATATATCAACCAATACACGGACGAAGCAATAATGATAGTCTGTTTTTGTTGCATGAAAAATTTCAAAGCAACGAGTAACTTGTGTATTCGAGACGCGGAAGCGAAAATCACGTTGCAGCTTGTGACGTCACACATGACCACGCGAGAGTGAAAACGAGAAGTATTGAGTATGGGAAGCCATTAGTATAAACCAATGGCTTCTCGTATCAATTATAACATTTAAGAATATTTGTGGATATTTCATAATTTATTTTGTTCAAGTTAGGGTTCAAATGTTTTATGTATATAGCTTTAAGAATTTTTAATTTTTGCTTATTGTTTTCATGTTTAAGTATAATTGTGTTTTCAAAAAAGGATTTTCCGGAATTGTGTACGCAGCCAGTCATGTTGTTTTAAATGTGTTATCATTCAAATGTAGAGTCAAGCGTCGTGAAAGCGAGTTTGTGGTGTGACCAACATAAATATTATTTAATACATTGCAGATACAATCTCCCAAAGGGCACTTGAATTTGTAAACTATGTTGGTTTTCTGCAAGCCGCTAACGGGGAGTGGGAAAGAATCATTGCGAAGAATTAAGTTGGATATACTAGATTTAGTGTAGTATATGATTAACCTAGTTTTTTGCTAGGATCTGTTGTAGATATATTAGTATTTACTAAATTTTAGTATATTTTCATCTTGTTTATAATTAGTATGCATTTGATTACGATATAAGAGATTAATATCATTGGCATTTTTTGAAGCAGTATTATGTTCTATTTGCTTAATATTGAGACTTCTAAGAAAGCATTTTATTTGTTCATCAAATATATAGTTTGGAAAGCTATTATTAATAAGTGTTTGTTTTATTATTCTTTAGTTCACTGTAAAAATCTGTTTTGTAGATGAATTAGTTTGTGCACTATGTATTAGATTTTTTGTAATTGCTATTTTGTAGTAATATGGACATTCGCTTTTGTGATTTTACCATATGGCGGAAGAAAGATAATCTCAAAATAGACATAAGATATTGTAAAATTATCAAGTGACTGGGATGTTGGAGAGTGATAACGAAGCAATTGACAATAGCAAAATCAGAATAATAGAAATACGGCTTTTAAAAATGTCACAAGAAATGTTTTGTGAAAAATCAAATGAGTAACGAACAAGAAGAGTGCATTGATCACCCAAAAAGTATTTGAAGAATTTGCTGTTAGGAATCTAAACAGAGAGGAAAGATATTTAGACATTAGGAAATTTGGCTAAAACATGAAAAGTACAGTGCATATGCTGATTAAAGAATTAGATTAAAATAGATTTCTCAATAGGGATTTTTAGTGACAAATGTAAAGCTACATTGGATGAACCTGATTGTTGAGTTCGAAATTAGATTCTTCATGTAAATAATGAACAAATACGATTTAGAAAACAATGTAAGAATAAATATTTTGGGCGAGGACGGTAGTTGCTAAAATTATAAATCTGTTTAAATTTGATGACTATGTCCTTATAAATGCAGAATATTATTATAAGTTCCTGGGGTGATACAGGTTACCAAGAGAAAATTCCTGCAATTCAGGTGAGGCAATTTACCATTAAATTCTACAAAGAAACAGAAAATGACATCGTACATTATCGTTCATAAAATATCAGTAAATGTAGGACAGACAAAGGCTGGCCGTAAACTCAAAGAGGTTAAGATTGTAATGGTCGAGGAAGCATCCTCTTGGGAAGAAGCGGTCCGAACGGAACTTCTGTTTTACTAATGGAATATGAAATGAATAAATACGCTATTACCACCTCATGTGTATATAGTATGGTGGTTCTTAGCTGCAAATGTTTGAAGTTGAATGAAGCTTGTCAGATTATCTTCTATGGAAATAGCGATTGCGTAACGACATTTAAAAAAGGGTGGAAAATAATCAAATAACCGCAAGGCCGTGTAGATAATCCTGAACTCAGTCAAACCTCGAAAAAAAAAATAAAAAAGGATTGCGCAGCTTTAGCCTGGATTTGAGTAACAGAAATAATATCTCCGAAAAGCAATAAGCATGTTACAAGTAATATTTAGTTCAAAAGAGTAAACAATTTAACATAATGGGAAACAAACTGATGAACATTATGGAAAGGCAAGAAGCCTTTGTTAACATGTAAAATTGCATAACAATTTATTCAAGTATATTGTGATCATGAAGAAATTGTATAACTGCGATGTTGACCTCACTGCATCATATGGTAACATTAACAAAGTCTTCATATTCTCATCTATTAGAAACAGCCTTCCAGGTTTCGAATTCACTGTATGCATCGATGTTACAGAAGAAATTTTTGAGGCCACAAAATCTTGCGTGACTAGGACCATTTCAAAGTTCTTCAGAAATACGACAAGGAGGACATTAGAGCCCCAATCTATTTTATCTTTTCCTAGACTATAGTTTGTGTATTTGAAAACACAGATGTGATGAGGTGGGCACTAATCAATGAAGCATTACATACCACATCCCAAACGAATTTACTGATATAAAGCAGCGGTACTGTTTCCCCTCCCGAGGCCAATGCATTGATGATGAAGGATGCTGGCTCTGATGATGGGTGTTCATAGTTGGGATAAGAATCATTTTGAATAGAAAATTAATATTTGCCAAATGTTCCAAGAAGTGGGACACAAGATTAACCTTTCCAAAGCAGAAACTATGATCTGGAATTGAAATGAAAGCAGTGACGATATATACCATGAAACCATCATAAAAATTCGGGAGATGTAATTAATAAATACCAACCACTTTAAATACCAATAGCGTATGGATCAGTTATAAGAGATTTATTACAGGAGAGAAGGAAACTGAACATAGAATAAGCTGCTCTAGATGTAGTTTCGCCCAATACTGCAAGTTGGTACAAAACCAAAACTGAAAACTCGAGTGATATTCCTAGCCTTGTCAGATCAATACTTTCAGATGGATTGACATGCCATGAGTCAAAACCGTTCAGAAATATCTAAACTGTCAGCAAGTGTTTATATTTACTAATTACACAGACTGAACGATTATGATACATTCAGGATAGATACGCTCAATTTTTCCAAGCAAATACAACTCGGCCTAAGGATTGAACATTATATGGATCCAATCGAAACAAAGCAAGCAATAACTGGGCAATATTAAATAAATACTAGACAACATTTCTCGAGAAGTAATCAGCGGAAGACGAACAATCTCGTCCCATAATTTAAAAGGATCCGTTCGAATTTCTCTGATATCTTTCTCAGATCGACAAGCATCTGATGAAGACCGGGGAGCACAGCGGCCGAAACAATGTGATAAAAGATGAGGATAAATGCCCGCACGCTCATCCCAGAAATTCAGACAGAATATATATTTCTTATTACTATAAACATTATATTAAGCAGATATTCTATTATTGACACTAATGTTTACCGGCCTAGAACTCGAGAAGTTCTTATAAAAATGCCTTTCTTAAAGGAATCGAAAGTGTATTCCCTTTTCTATCAAATGGTTAAAGCCAACCATGGTAAGAATTAGGCTACTCTTTCCATCAAGCAAACCTCAGTTATCTCTCGTTGAGCGTTTTGAAAGACTATATCCGTAAACATTGTCTTCGAACCAGAAGCGAAAATAATGTAATTTTTGTTACCAATTTTCATCCAATTTTTTTACGATAAACGTTATAACTAGTGGCTACACGTGATTTAATTGACATCTATCTATCTATCTATCTATCTATCTATCTATCTATCTATCTATCTGTGTGTGTGTGTGTGTGTGTGTGTGTGTGTGTGTGTACATATACCTACGTTTGAAGTGCAACTTAAAGTATCATTGTTGTACCAACTCATCAGGCACGAAATATTACTTGTAATTATTCGTTCCTGATGAGTTGGTACAACAACGAAACATTAAGTTGAACTTCAAACGTAATATATATATATATATATATATATATATATATATATATATATATATATATATATATATATATATATATATATATATATATATATATATATATATATTTATTAATATATACTTCATTGCTCTGTCTAAGCACATTGAGCACTCTTTTGTTTACATCTTAAATTAAGTAAATATTTATTCACTTGCCGCTGTATGCACGATAACGCACGTATATACAATTGCTAATATCTAGTTATTTGATTTACACAAGTCAATACCCTCTCTCTCTATATATATATATATATATATATATATATATATATATATATATATGTGTGTGTGTGTGTGTGTGTGTGTGTGTGTGTGTGTGTGTGTGTATATACATATATAAGCAAAGATAAAACGATACTCATATTTATGAGAAAAAAACTGTACTTATATTTTACTGCTACCCGCAACTAAATTTTTTTATGGAGGGTATAGTTGGTCATTATATATATATATATATATATATATATATATATATATATAAGTGAACATAAAGTCAACATAGAGGCGACAGTCTGTTTCATGCTAGAGGCAATCGTCAGGCCACGACTCGTGGTCTGACGATTGCGTCTAGCATGAAACAGACTGTCGCCTCTAAGTGTTGACTTCTCTGTTCACTTTTATATTTACACACGTATTGAGCACTTTATCCCATAAATATAGCACATCTTAAGACTATATTTCTTCATATATATATATATATATATATATATATATATATATATACATAGGCATGGTATCTTCATCGGACTATATTGAATAATATTGACATATTG